CCTGGCGTGGACCGCTTGTTGGTGGTAAAAATTAATAATCGGGTACGCGCCGCACTTTGAAACTGCGCTGGCGGATTTTTGAAAAATGGCCGTTTCTCTCGAGACGTCCTCCAAACATCGGCCCAAGAGGAGACTCCGCATCGACGTCGTGTTTGAATCGCTCTTGGAGTGTTTTCCAACGGCCCAAGGGAGGCCCAAAAGACGCCCCGGAGAGCCCCAGGAGCGCCCAAGAGCGCCCCAAGAAGACCCCAAGAGACCCCCAAGAGCGCTCAAGGAGCCACCCAGACAGCTCACAAGAACCCCAAGACGGCCCAAGAAGGGCCAAGAAGGCCCCAAGAGACTCCCGGGAGCGTCCCAGGAGGCCCCCAGCGCCGAGACGGCCTAAGAAAGCTCCCACAGAACCCCACGACGCGCCCAGACAGCCCAAGAAGACCCCAGACGCCCATAAGAGGACCCAAGGGGCCCCCAAGAAGCCCCAAACAGGCCCCAAGAGAACCCCGCGCGGCGCCAGGAGCAACGTCTTTCTCCAATTGCCTCGTACTGTCCTCTGTCGTCGTCGTCGTCGGCGTCATCATCGCCCTCCGCATTCCTCTTCGTACTCGCCCTCGTTCTCTTCGTCCTCGTCCTTGTGCTTCTCTTCCTCCTCGTTGTCCTCATGCTCCTCGCTATCCTCACGTTCGCCACGTCGTCCTCGTCATCGGCTCCTCGTTGTTCTCGCCTTCCTTTTCTTCTTCGCCCAATACGCCCATTTGACTACAGCGGCGCTTCCCGTTCTTGTCCGATCAGGTTTCTTTATCGATCTCACCATCGACCGCACGTTCGTTCTCACTTTCGATCTCACAATCAATATCCTTATAGATCATTATAGATCGCACGAACGATTTCACGAACGATCTCGCAATCGACCTCATTGAATCGACTGCAGTATCGCTCTCACGATCGACCTTACGATCGTCCTCACTATCGATTCCACTGTCGGGCATCACGAATGATTGCATTGTCGATGTCAATATCATCATTGGTTTCCAGACCATCCACTGATTGGGGTTGTTTGTGTAATATAAAGTTTAAATGGGGTAGAAGTCGGATCCATGTGAAGCAAACCGGACGGAAATCGGACCCACCGAAACATAAACCAGAACCATAATTGGAACCGCGCAAATGTGATTGAATCCGACGGCGGTTATCCCATGCGCGTCGGCTCAAGATTTCAAGCCGTCGTTCCGGGCCCAATCGGAAACATTTGCCGTCCTGGGGATGTACACGGACACACCTCGTCAACATTTTCACCAACAGAGTAGCCCACTGTTTGTAGGGGAGGCCCATCGGAGAGGGTTTTTGTTGCACCACGGTGCGGCTTTGGCGGACAGGAGCAGGAGGAGGAGAAGGAGGAGGAGGAGGAGGAACAGGAGGAGGGGGAGCAGGAGTACGAGTGGGAGCAAGAGCAGGAGGAGCAGGAGGAGGAGGAGGAGGACGAGGAAAAGGTGGAGGAGGAGGAAGAGGAAGAGGAGGAGGAGGGAGCCGTCTGGGCGGGCTGATGGGGCTTTCTTGGGACATATAGGGGGCCTTTTGGGAGCCCTCCTGGCCTGTCTCGGGCCCCACTGGCCCAAACATATACAATACAACATGTGAATACACACGCACGTGTTAGATGTTTGTGTATATATAAACAGGTGCCTGGATGCCAGGCTTGTTTGATCCATCCATCGGTACCACTATCGAACTATCGGTACCACCATATTTTACTGACGTGAAGACCACGGGACAACCGCAGGACAACAACGGGACAACCACGGGACATCAACAGGACAACCGTTGGACATCCGCGGGACAACCACGAGACAACCACAGAACAACCTATAGCAGACGGGACAACCACGGGACAACCACAGGACAACCTCGGAACAACCACGGGGCAATAAAAGGACAACCGCGGATCAGAACACTCACGGGACAATCACGGGACATGTTGGGAACAACTACGACATCCACGCGACAACCACAGGAAAACCACGGGACAACAATGGGACAACCACGGGACATACACAGGACAGCCACAGGACAACCAAAGGGCAACCTCGGAACAGCTACAGGACAACCACGGGACAACCATTGGGATCACCATCGGGAGAATTATCGGGACAACCATCGGGACGGAGTAACCACAAACACAACCATCGGAACAACCGAAAGACAATTGCGGGTCAGCCCCAGGCACGCACTGCCGTGCGAGGCAGCGACCCACGTCGGCGCGACTTGGGCCGAGCCAGTCCAGGAATTCGCGCAGTTTCGCCTCGCCCGCACGCGCGCCACGCACGACGCGATCCGGAACCGAAACCGACTTCTGCGCTTCATGTATATTGCATCTCCAGCCGCCGATACAACCGCAGGAGTTGTTGCAGACACGATTGCATACAAGCGCGAGATTTGCCTAGTGCCCCTGCCTAACTTATATCGTTCTGAGCTGGGGTGCGTGCGCCTTGAGTGATACCCGGCGCAGGTCTCTCCCTCCCAGGCCCGACCCGCTACTATCTCTTAGCGGTTTTGCGGTCTCCGCGTGATGATTCTCACACCACGGCGAAGATATGAGGGGTGCGTTTCTTACGAGGGCGCTACCACAGCGAACACCCTTCATTCAGATATCGGCACATTGTCTCCGCATTGCGCCCTCTACCACACCAATCCCGCCTGTCCCACAGGCACAGTCCTATGATTACGTGACGATTTTGATTGCAATTCCTCTGACCCTGGACACGGGCACCGCCTCCAAGAGGTGATATGTGGCGTGCGCACCCTGCCGTTGCAGCATATGGCTCTTCATCGCCGCTGTATCACCATTAATTTTTCGGAACGAACCATGCAAGCAACTGTTCCTTGGCTGATCGTTTCGCTGGAAAAAACGATTGCATACAAGTGCGTCCCTCATAGACCACCCGTCGGGCGACAGGAAAGTTGGATGAGTGGAGCACCATCTATGACATGCAGTGGAAGCGCAGTTCAACCCATGAGCGGACACACATTGGAACGTCAGTGTGGATGCACATGCCCATACATATATAATATGTGTGCGACTATATGTACTTACAGGGCTGGACCTAAGCGCTGTTTTGCTGGACTTCGGCTGTGTTTTGTTCTTCGTTTTGACAGGGAGGCACAGGAAAACAGGTAGAGCAAACGAACATCAAAACGAACACAAAACGGAAAACAACGTTTGGGTACTGCTCTGTGTACTAGTATAACCGGTTCCTTTAATGCACATAAAACTGATCCAGCACAAGTTGGGTCGCGGGCGGGGAGGCTGGTTCCAGAACGCTCCAGGAGGGCTCAAGACGGCCCCAGGTGGCCCCAACACGGCCCCGGAGGGCCCCAGGAGGTTTTAGGAGGACTGTCAAGGGATGGAGCTAGCTAGAGCCGAATCGCGCGCGAAGCGCGCGTGTAGTTCTAGTTGTTATTACTATTATGAAAGTATTAGTACGGTTATCATTATTATTAGTATTCCTCTTTTTACTTTTATTACTTATCATGTCATTATTATTATTATATATATATGTATACATACATCCATGTGTCCAGCGAAATACCTCACAGATGCTCCATCTATCTGCATGACGATATCTGCATGCCAAGGTACAGATCTGTATGTGTGTAGCCATGCGTGTGTATATATAGATAGAGATGTATGTGTGCGTGTGGGTCGCAGTGCCTCTTTTCTAGAATCTACGTGCGTCTATATGTCCATCACTCGGTGCTAATATCTATCAACTGCTGGGGCAACAACCCTGACAACCGCCCCCATAGAAAAATAATTGAGATAATGATTTGGTCCACCGTGTTCAACGAACAATTTCGCCCGGTCTCACTATCCAGCGGCCTCGATATGGCCATCAATATACGTGTCAATCCCGCCGTCCATCAACCGTGACAACCCTCGGCACAACCATCGGCTCAACCATCGGGACATCCATTGGGACAACCATCGGGACAACCATCGGGACAATCTGCGGGACAACCATCGGAGCAACGTCACCCAACGACCGCCGTGCGGGCGACTCATTTTGGCTTGACTTGGCTTCTACGAGGGCATGAACTTGCGCAGCTTCGCCTCGTCTCGCCCGCACGCACGTCACGCACGACGCGAGCCGAAACCGAAACTGATTTCCCGATTGGGGGCACTTTTTTCTATTTCGAGATCACCTTCAACCTCCGACATCGTCGCAGGACTTACTGCAAACACGATGGCAAACAACCGCATATTCGTTTCACGTTCAGAAGCCGCCGAGGCTCGAAGCTAGCAGGTCCTCGACACGTTCGAAAGCCTGGCGGCGACAGGAGACTGCGCAAGCACGTTGTGAGAGACTTTTTCTGTTTCATCGGGACCCAGACCTTCTCCGATGTGCTTGCTCACTCCGCGGCCAAGAAGCCCCAGCACACCCCTCACCAGGAGCAGGGTACTGCCCACGATCCATGCTTCATAGCCCCGGGGGCCCGACAGCGGGCCCGATGGAGACCAGGAGCGGGGAAGTCACATCGCCAGGGATTGAAGAAGCCACATCGCTGGCGATGTCTCACTCACCAGCTTGGTAGTCATATTGTCGGCGCCCGCCGTTGCAGAACGTGTGGCAACGTCGTGGTGATTTCACAAACTCTGTCTTTCATATGTTTTGCAACCGCTGCGGTACGCTCGCGTCCAACTGGATTTAAGAAGGCACATCGCTGGAGATCTGGGTAGCTCTTTGACTACATGGGTGCCATCTGAGCGACGGAAGAAAACGGGGCCAATTACGCGGACCTTCTCACGTAAGTTGCCCACGTAAGGCCGCGCGTAAGCACCCTCGTCTCCAATGTGGCGTGCCGCGCCGGCGGCCCTCGTAAGCTGCGGCGTAAGGTCGGTATGTTTTCTCGCCGAAGACTCGTTTTTTGTCGACGCTCACCTGAGCGGCGGGCGAGGCAGCGAGTCGGGGATGGGGAATGAGAGGGTGGGTGGCGCTAGTGGGCCTTGAATGGATCAATGGGCCTCAATGGAGCAACGAAGTCCTCAACAGGACATTAGGACGTTAAAGTGCCGCGGGTGCCACCTGAGCACATCACCGGCGCGCGACCTGCCCGCCCAGCGCAAACGCGCCAGCGGCGGGCGCCGACGCGCGCACGCCTGGCGACCAGCGGCGCAGTCGCGCCTTCGGCCGCCCCCGCCGAGCAGCGGCCGGTCGAGCTCGGACTCTGAGATCTCTTGGCGTCGCAACTTTTTCACAACGGGCCTTCTTCGCCCCGTTTCGGGCCCCAGGACCCTCACAGATCGATCCGTCTCGAAAAAAATGACGCAGAAAGATGGGGGCGAATGTCAGAAGGAGAAAAACAAAAACATACATATGTAATCGTCGATCTCCAGGAAAAGACAGGAACTATGGGAAGTGCGGCGGAAAACGAAAACCCCGAAAACATATGGAAATATGGGAAGTCCTCGGCTTAGTGTCTATGTATTTGTGTGTCCCTGGGCCCCTTTATAGGGCTCTGGGCGGGATCTGTGAAGATGTTGCGTGTAGTTGGCAGCGTCAGATCTCCAGGGAGGTCTTTGCCGGCCCCCGCGCAGCCCGGAGGCCAGCGCCGAGCGCCGCCAGGGACCCCAGAGTGGTGGGGGAGGCGCCCCGGTGGCCCTTGGAGAGATCGGGTGCATCCAAGAGAAGGGTGATCCAGCCACGCGCACAGGGGGGCAGGGGGAGGGGCGAGGGCGTCTTAGAAGCACCCCTGCTTCCTAGAAGGCGCGGGCCTTTTCTGTAGATGTATGGCCCTCGCCATCTAAGAGGCAGCCTCCTTTTGAGAAGCCTTCCCCCCTCCCACTCCTCTCTCTGCGCGCCGCCAAGTAGGGGGGTCATGCATCTCATGGTCTGGGCCATGCTGTCTCCCCCGATATGTTGGCCCCCTCTTCTTTCAGCGCGCCCCCTGCCCCCCCCCCCCTCGTCCGCGCACATGCAGGCTGCCATGATTTGCGAACCCCCCTCGTGGACGCTCCCCTCCTTGGACGCCCCCGAAAGGGGAGGAGGGCGACGAGAAGGATGGAGGACAGAGACGAGGAGGAGGAGGAGGAGAGGGAAGAGGAGAGGAGGATGACCGGGGGGATTGTCCTGGAGAGAGGAGGACGAGGAGGCGGAGAGAGAGGATGGAGGCGAGAAGGAGGAGGAGGAGGAGGACCAGTGAAAACCCAGCGCGCATCAACGATGTTGCAATAAATCCTCCCTCTAAGTTCCCTCGTCAGAGGTCTTAACAAGAACGCATGCTCATTGTGTAAAGTGCCCCAGTAGACGACAACCGTTTGAGAGTCCTCAGTCGTGCCAAAACACCATGCCTGGGACTTGAACAAAAACGTACATCAACCTAACTGGTGCGCCCTGACATCCCTAAATCGTGCCAGAGCAGAAGTCCTCCGACATCAAAGCCGCGAATCGTTGTGACTGTTGCGTCCTGGCAATCCTGGATCGTACACCATTCCTGGGACGTCAACCCTACGAATCCGTCGAATTGTTCGAAACTTTAAAGACGCATGGGCACGCCGCTTAGGCAAGAGCCGCATTATGAAAACGAGCCGCCCTCCATGCCTGAAATTGCTGCAAACTTTCACACGGATGGGCTCGCCGCTCAGGCGAGAGCCACATGTTGAAAACGGGCCGCGCTCCACTTCTGAAATCCATGCAACCTTTTATGACGAATGCGCGCGGCGCTCAGGCGAGAGCCGCATTTTGAAAACGGTCCGCCCTCCATGTTTTTGACATTGTTGCAAATTTGGAGACGAATGTGCGCGGCGGGAAGGCGAGAACCACATGATACATGTTGAAACTGCCCGCCCTCCATCGTAGACATTGTTGTACATTTCGAGCTTCAGGATCATACATGGGCAGGAAGTCCCCAGAGAAATGCTTGGCCCGCCCTACCGACACGTCTGAGTTGCGACAGGGAGGAGTCATTTATGAGGACGAGAGGTGGAGGAGGAGGAGGAGGAGGAGAGCGATGGCAGCACCGGTCACAAGGCTCAGCTGTCCGCAGCCTTGAGCTCTGAGGTGGACGAGATTTGGTCGACTGGGGAAGTGGAGGACTATGAGGAGGATGAGAATGAGAGTCACGAGGAGCAGGCGACGAGGAGGAGGAGGAGGAGGAGGAGGAGTAGGGAGGGAGGGATGACGAGGAAAGAGATGGAGAGGAGGACGAGGAGGGGGAAAGGAGGAGGAGGAGATAGAGGGCAGGACGAGGAAGGGGGCGAGGGAAGGAAAAGTGGCCCCAGTGGCCCCAGTGTCGGAAGAGCCTTTGGGCCCCCGGGCGGGCGGTGCAGCGGGGCCCAGACCTCCCGGCGTCGCGGAGAAGTCGCCACCGGCATTTATCCGCCGCCCCCTGTCGATTCATCGCAGGGGTGCCTGGCGTGCTAAACCCTCTCGGTTTTGGCTTTGGCTTTTTTGTTCCAAAAGAGCTCCCCCTGGGTCTTCGGCCCGTCCCGCCAGCCACCCGGAAAGGAGCTGCTCAATTGCGGAAACATTCCTCCAAGACGGCTCAAGGTGGCGCCAAGATGGCCACGTTGGCCCAGGATGGCCTCCAAGATGGTCCAAGATGGCCTCCAAGTTCGCCCAAGATGGTCCAAGACGGCTTCCAAGACGGCCCAACAGAGTCCAAGACGGCCAAAGACGGCCCAAGGGGCTCCCAGAGGCCTCCAAGACGGCCCAAGAGGCCTCCAAGAGGTCCTCCAGGATGGCCCGAAGAGGCCAACATCACTAATTTTCCTTAAGTGGGTTTTTGAAAGATTTTGGCATTCGCGTCTTCTCGGCTTTCCGACGACCCAAGACGGCCCAAGAGGCCTCCAAGATCGCCCCCACATCGCCCAAGAGGCCTTCAAGATGGCCTCAGGACTGCCCAAGAGGCCCCCCAGAGGGCCCCAAGAAGGCACAACGACGGCCCAAGAGCCCTCCAAGACGCCCAAGATGGCCTCTATGACGGCCCTGGAGCACCCCAAGAGGGCCCAAAGTCGGCCCAAAAGGCCCCCGAAACGGCTTCCGACGGCGTCGGACGGGCCAGGGGCCCACCAAGACGGCCGAAGTTGGCTCAAAGCTGGCCCAAGACGGCCCAAGATGCCTCCAAGAGGGCCTCGAGGAAGCCCCAGAAAGGCCAAAATCATTGATATTCCATTTGTTTTTGAATGATTTTGACATTTGTTTCGTTTCGGCCTTCCGACGGCCCGATACGGCCCAAGAGCCCCAAAGATCGTCCAAAGGTCGCCCAAGAGGCCTCCAAGATGGCCCCAGAACGGCCCAAGAGGCTCCCAAGACGGCCCCCAAGACGGCCCAGGAGGTTTTTAAGGCGCCCAAGATGGCCTCCAAGACTGCCCTGGAGCATTCCAAGAGGGCCCCAACTCGGCTCAGAGAGGCCCCCGAAACGGCTTCCGACGGCGTCGGACGGGCCAGGGGCCCACCAAGACAGCCGAAGATGGCACTGAGATGGCCCAAGACGGCCCAAGAGGCCTCCAAGAGGGCCTCCAGGAAGGCCCGGAAAGGCCAACATCATTGATTTCCCATGAGTTTTTGAAGGATTATGGCATTTGCTTTTTTTCTGCCTTCCGACGGCCCGAGACGGCCCAAGTGCCCCCAAAGATCGTCCATGAGGCCCAAGACGGCCCCAAGAGGCCCCCAAGACGGCACAAGGGGCCTCCAAGACGCTCAAGATGGCCTCCAAGACGGCCCAAGAGCCCTCCAAGACGTCCTCCAAGAAGGCCCGAAAGGGTCAAAATGGCCTCCAGGCGGCCAAGATGACCTTTAAGATGCCCACGTGTTCCCCGAAGGCTTTCCAAACCGATTCGGGGAACACATGGTCCGATAGCTTGGCAGGTCTGCCCTCAACGTTCGGCCACATAGGCGTTTCCAAAAAGGCAGGGGGCGGCGGTGATTCGCCGTAGGCGTCTTCGATTCCCAAGATTTCGGCACCCACGCTGGCAAGAGCGACCCGCTGCGAGAAATCGGGCACCAGTACTTCAAATCAGAAAAAGTTGCATAAACATATTTTGTTTGACGTTCCGAACGGGTTTGGGGGATCTGCGCGGGCGCTCCCTGGCGGCGCCTTTGGCGCCGCCCCCTGGCGCAGAGAGCTCTGCGGGCGAGACGGCGTGAGAAAGGAACGACGCGAGAGGTCTGGGGAGAAGTAGCGGAGGGTCGATGTGTTCTTGGCTGCTTGGCAAGAGCAGCGTGGCGTTGCGCGGAGGACGGTTGACGGCTCCAGGCGGCACCCTCAGAGCCGGCGGGGGCGCCGTATCCGCGGAGGGGGGGGGGGGGGAGGGAGGAAATGTGAAACGGATACCCACGGCGAGCTTGCATGCAAAAGTTCCAGACGCAATTTCTATTCAGCAAGGGTGCCACGGCCTGGGAGGTTCAAAAGGGGAGGGCTTTGGCCCCAGGAAGGAAGGGAGGGAGGGAGAAGGAAGGATGGATGGACGGAGCCATGGATGGGAGGATGGATGGAGGGAGGGGAGCAGGCGAAGGTCTTACGCGCCATTTCGCTCCCCGGCAGAACGCGGGGGCATGCGGGTCCTTCAAGGGATCGTCAGAGCCGGCGTGACAAGGCTTCGGAGAGGAAAGAACGCGCACGACTCCTAGCATTGCCGCGTACTTCCGCTCCTCGTTTTCGTTTTCTGTCCCCTCAACCTCCCATCCCCTGTTTTTGTTTCTTCTTCATCTTATTCTTGTTTGGCCCCCCTTTAACAGGATGTCGAAGTCACCGTATAAGAGGCCGTCGACCCCTTGAAGGAACTATACTATGAATTGGGTCCCAGAGCATCTGTCTTAGACTCCCAATCACCTGCTTCAGATACCCACGCGCGCACCATTACGTAAAGAGTTGCAGAGCAGCGTCAACCGCATGGATCCTGCTCGTCGTCGTGTCGCCTTCGTTGGTTGGCCGGACGACGTCGGCGCCGACGCCCGCATCGCAAATAGGGAGGCCTCCATCACATATCATTTCAAGACATTCCGGCCCACTGGATTTGGTAATGAGCACAATGGTCCAAACACGAATCGGACGTTTTCCCCCGGACCATGGGCCGAGTTCTCCAGCGTCGAGGTCGCCAAGGCTTGCTTCTCCAACGCGTCGTTCCGACGGAAAGACCCCACATGAGAATCCTTTCGGCCAATCTGGAAAAACACCTCACCGTCGGCCTCGTGATCGGTGGGGTATCCTTACTGTCTCTTCTCGGCGTTGCGCACTTCCCCTCGGCAGGCCGCTCGCGCCAGCAGACTTGTTCGCACCGGCATTGCGCGCTTCGGGGCGTAAGCCTCGGTTCTAGTAGGTTTGGTGGAGTCAGAGGGATACAATACATACTTATATGTAAAAAGAGGAAGACGCGGACGAGGAGGGGAGGAGGAGGGAGGAAATTAGATGAGGAGGGGGCGGGAACTAGAGGAAGAGGACGAAAGAGTGAGGAAGGGACGGGGCCCAAACGCAAACTATTCGGGCCTGTTGGGATTTCGGTGAAGCCCCGGACCGAGAGGGAGGGAGGGAGGGATGACGACGATGACGACGGGGCTACTCACATACGGGGCCCCGCTCGATACTTCTTGCAAGTTCAGGCCTGAAGAGCCCGAGAATGACGACGGTTACAGGAATCGAATGGTCCGTTGGGATTACCAACGGAACCCAAAAATGACGACATTTTCAAGAATCCCATGACCCGCCTCGGATTCGAACATGAACTGCGGGCCCCTTCGGCCTTAGGGACGGGGCTCCCGCCTGATACTTCCTCACAGTTCACTCACAGACGAGGCTCCCGCTTGATATTTCCTTGAAGTTCAGGTCAGAGGAACCCAAAAGTGACGACGGCAACAGGAATTGTATGACCCGCCACGGATCAATAACATGACCTGCGGCCTCTTAGGGATGGGGTTCCCGCTTGAGATCCCCTTACAATTCACTCACTGACGACGTTCCCGCCTGATATTTCCTCCAAATTCAGGCCCGCGGAGCTCACAAGTGACGACGGTTATAATAATTGTATGGCTCGCCACAGATTCATAACATGATCTGCGGGTCCCTTGGGAAGAGGGTTCCTGCCTGAGGCTTCTTCATAATCCAGTCACCGACGAGGCTCCCGCCTGATATTCCCTCCAAATTCAGGCCTGCGAAGCCCAACAGCGACGACGGTTACAGAAATTGTACAACCCGCCACGGATTAGTAACACGATATGTGGGCCCTTTTGGGACCGGGCTCCCGTCTGAGACGTCCTCGCAATTCACTCACAGACGAGGCCCCCGCCGGATATTTCCTCCAAATTCGGGCCTGATGCTGATGGTGAATGATCGATGGATGATGGTTGTGGTGATGATGAAGTTCATGATGATGATGATAATGATGATTGGTGATGATGACGATGACGATTGCTGGTGGCGCTGTGTTGACAATGACGATGCTGATGGTAATGCGTGATGATATTGGGTGAGTGAGTGAGCGAGTGAGTGAGTGACAGAGTGTTTGGGTGAGTGAGTGAGTGTGTGTGAGTGAGTGGGTGTTTTGTTATTGTTCCTGCGCGGGGCATCCAAAGAAAACAAGAACCCGACTTTGGATGTGGGGAGAAATCGATGATCAGGCCAGCCCGCGCGGAATTGCAACGCAAGCGGAACCATGCCATGCGAAACACCCAGGAGTTGATCAAAGCCTCTACTCTGGCCGCCGGCAAGGAGACCTGGATTAAATAGGATGTCGACGGTTCTCGGAATCAGCTTACGAGTGTTAGTGGCACGGCCGCACTCAAGCAGGAGGAGAACAACGTCAAGGGAGTCTTCCTGCAACCGTGCGCGGACCTTGTCATCCCGTTGGGACTGCTCGGCCACATGCGCATTATGTTCACGTTATGTGGCGCGCCCGCCAGTGTCTGGCATATTAGCGGCCCCGACACCCGACGCCAACGACGTCGAGGCCCTCGGTCTGTTCTCAACTAGACGTCAGAGTGACCTTTCGCCGGAGTGACCTTTGGCGCGGGCCCGATGGGGCCCCCCGACCGCCGCGCGCGATGCGGCAGTAGCGCGTTGCGCGCGCGCATTCGGCCCCCCCGCGGCCCCCCCAAAACCGCGCGCCAAAGGTCGCTCTTACACAGGGTCATTCTTGCGCGTGGCCGATGTTCTCGCGCGCCACCTCGGGGCCGCCATTGGCCTCGGGATTCGGGTCGCCAGCGCCCCCCCGGCGAAGGCTCGCACAAACCCGAGCCCGAATCGCCAGATCCAGAACTTCTGTTTGCCATTTTGCCTGCGAATTCGCGTGGTTTTCTTTCGCGCCATGCAAAATGTCACTGTCGTCTTGGATTTCTGCAGTTTCCTGATCTCGCGGCAATCGCAGAGAGTTGATCAGACGAGTCCGTCGCAGACACCTTGTTGCGCGGGCGCCTGGTTGCATCGCGATCCGACCGTCGCGATGGCAGACGAGGCGCGGCATAATTCTGTTCGCGCGTGAGTCGTTCAAGACTTGCGTCGCCCGCGTCAGTGATTCGCTTGATGCCGAGCGGTCTTGGCGCATGGCCCGCGCGAGTTTTGGTCCAATGGCGCTGGCTCTTCGGCGCCAGTCTCCCAGGCAGGGAGAGGTCGACGCCGTTCGCGCTCCGTCGACGGAGTGGCGCGATTACTGGCAACGGGTCGCGGGCGCCAGCGTCGCGCGCGACATGAGCCCTCATCCGGGGAGGGGGGAGGCCGCTCGGCACATTGCCCCCGCGTCGGGCAGCAGGGGGAAGTCGGGGGACCGACTCGAGGAAACTATTGGTTGGCCTTCGCCATGACGGGCGCGCCCTCCAGCCTGGCGCGCAAAGTCTGTCCGCGCATCATCGAGCGCGACCATCATTTGGCATGCGTGTATATGGCCATGCGCGCGCGGCGTTCTGCGCCGACTGCGCGATGTTTCAATTTGCACAGCGGCCCCCAGCTTCGCGCCGAGCTGTAGAACGGGGATTGGAAATTGCAGTTCGCATCCTGCTCTACGTCGGCCGCCGCAGCCAAACTCGCGAGTCTCATGCTGGATGCGGCGAACAAATTCATTCCGATTTTCACCGGCGTCGCCCGGGAATCCACCCGCCCGTGGATCAACGAGGCGCTCGCGGAGCTGATCAGGAGAAAAGTTGAATCATATGGGGCGCCGATTCGAACGTCGACGGGCCGAGGGCTCTGCCGGCCTCCACCGCCGCTGCGACGAGGCACGTTCAGCGCGCTCGGAGGCGCGCGCTGGACACGCGGCCGCCGCGCAAGAAAAGGCGGGCACCATGCGATTCGCTGCTTCTTCGCGCCGGCAAGGGTTCCGGCGGCGCGCCGCCGCTGCAGTCGACGCGCGGGTCGCGGGCTGTGTCTGCTCGTGCTGGGGCCGACCTTTTCGCGTGTACTTCCCGCGATGAGTTTGGCGCCCCCCTGAGGTGGGCTCCGCTTTCCCTTCCGCGCGCGTGAACGGCGCCTTCTCGACGGCCAGCTTCGCGCCGACGCGTTCCCGCGCAGCTTCGCGCGTCTAGCGCAGGCTGCGGGGAGAAAGCGGCGCCGGCCCCGATGGGATGTCTTGTCGGATTCTGAAGCAAGTCGCCCCGCAGCTAACAGCTCCCATCGCCGCGCTTGCACGCTTGATCTTCGACGGCGGCGGGTGGCCGGGATCGCGGGGGCGTCTCTGGCTGCGCCCGTCGCTCAAGGGAAAGGTGCGTTCGAACCCGTGGAATGACAGTGGAAGTCGCCTCGCATCCGAGCTCAGCAAATGCGTCGAGCGTTGCTTCGCTAGCGCGCTGCGTACTTTTTTCGAGACCAGCGGGGCGCGCGGGGGCCGCCGGCGCGCCAATCGCGCGAAGCGGGGATGCAGAGACGCTTTGGCGTGCGTGGCGCGCTGTTGGGTCCGCGCTATCTGCAGCGGTCGGCGCGCGGGGGCGCGCTGCTCGTACGTGGGCGGAGTACTCGACGGGGTCAGCTCCGGCTGCCTCGGGATTCGAGTCCGCGCGTCGGGCGCGCGCGCGCCCCGTCTGGGTCGCATACGGCTTTGGCTTTCTGGGAGACAGGCGCGCGTCAGCGCGGGCGGGTTCCTCTCCGCGCCTTCTTGCTTCAGGACATGGTGTTCGAAGGCGCGGCTCTGAGGCCGCCGTCGTGGAATTTGTTCCGCGGCGATGCCGAGATTCCCGCGTCTTCGGCCGATTTCGCGGAATGCGTTTTCGCCGACGACCTCAACTGCCTGCAGGAGCTCGAAGGCGCGGCCGCACATGCTTCCATCTTCGCTGCGCGCCACCGGCGCCAGCCCACGCATCGCGAGCGGGGCGCGGCCAACCGGGCGATTTTCGATGCGACCGAAGAGAGCGCGCACATTATCGACGAGCGACAGCCCGACGGGGGCGATTTCAATATCGTCGGCGCACTCGTCGATCCCAAGATGGCCATGCATCGCGCCGCCCAAGCATTTGCGAAGCCTGTTGGCCGCTCTAGGCGCCGCTTCGGCTAGGCAATATTCACGGCGCAGATGAGCCCTCCAGGATGTTCGAATGCCACGCCGTCTCATTCGTGGACGGCGCTGCCCCGGCAATCTCTCGCGCAACCGATGCAGTCATAGCTCCGCAAGACGGCTTGCAGGGTGAGTTTTGCAAGTGCCCAGGGTCTCCGAAGAAAGGGCCCTCCGCGATTGCAGCCTCGCCCCATCATCTGCGAAACAGGACTTGTCTATGCTGCGTTTGTTGCGCAAGGTTGCTCGCGGCAGCGCCCCCCCCCCCCCCCCTCCACTCTGCGCGTGTCTTCTTTTTGTTGTTGTTCTCTCTTTTTCCCTCGCGCGCCGAGCAACCTCGAGAGCCGCGGGCTTAGTGGAGCAAGGCGCATGCGCGACGGGGCGCTCCGTTATGCAGTTGAGACGGGCATGCATCTCATGATGCGCAGATCGATTTTCGGCATGGCGTGCATTGTCAAGTATCTTCCAAAGCATGTCGTCGATTGCCCCTCTGCGGAGCAGTTTCAGAAAGGTACGATCCACGGTTGCCGAAGCCATCAGATCCGCCCGCAGCGCGTGGCACAACATTTTCAGCGCGCCGCGCCGCGCTCCGCAGTAACCAATCGCGCGCGTTCCTGTCTGAGGGTTCGTCGTCGGAAAAATTGAGGGAGAGGGGGGCGTGGATGGATGGGGGGATGGATGGAGGGAGGGGGGCAGGCGAACGTCTCACGCGCCATTTCGCCCCCTGGCAGAAGCCGGGGGGCCTGCGGGTCCTTCAAGGGATCGCCAGGGCCTGCGCGTCCAGGCGTCGGAGAAGAAATGACGCGCGCGACTCTTAGCATTGTCGCTTACCTCCACTCATCGTCTTCGTGTTGCGTCTCCTCACCCTCCCACCCCGTGCTCTGTTTTCTGGCCCCCCTTGAACCTCTGGAGGTCTTCTGTAATTGCCCCCCCCCCTGTTTTCCCCGGCGGGGGAGAAACTCGCCCGTCCTGCTCCTGCTTCTCCTCCTCCTCCTCCTCCTCCTCCTCCTCCTCCACTTCCTCTTCTCCCTGGAACGGGATCCTTCCTGCCTCTTTTCGCCCCTGCCCGCCGCTGCTATTTTCAGTCTGGCCAGGCAGCGCGCCCGCTTTTCGTTTCGCCTTAATATTGCATTGCACATCCGCTACATTCATCCGCTATTAGGAACACCCGGCGCTTTTCATCTCGGACATCCCAGATTGGAGTTGGCAGCGGAATTTCGGCCCAATCTCCACAGCCGCAGTGGCTTCCCATTTTCACCTCGTTTCGACAACACAGGCTCCAACCCCCCGCCGCTCTGCATCGTGGCGGTCGACATCCAGCGGGTCAATCTATGTGGCGGTCGACATCCATCGTGGCGGTCGTCATCCGCTGGACTGCCACTGTTATGCGTTATGCACCTCTTCCCTCTCGCCGCGGCAGGAAGCGCTATCACTTTCGAGTCCGTCGGGGCGTCCGCCCATCCGCCAGGACCGGCGACGGGAAAGGCGCACACCGACCTCAACCAGCACGATATATACAAGGACCTTGACCGCGCGCCGGAGCTCTCTGAGATCCCTCCCGGGCTCGCGTTGCAAGTGTCAACGCAGCTCGCGGGCCCCACGCTGTCAATGCACCCGTTTGCGGGTGCAGCCGCAACTGTCACGCAGCTGCTCGACACAATTGTATCTATCACATCTACGGCGTCAAGTAAGGGCGTTGAGTTTCCGCTGGCTGCGTCACAAGAGCTCTTGGAGGAGCAAGCAGAGAGGAGCGGGGAGGCGATGGGTGGCTTGACGACTGTGTCGTCACATTCCGGGGGACAGCGAATCGGAAGGGCGATAACCCAAGGTTGTGTCGTTTTGTGGTACACGACCATTCATCTCACCTTCACACACCTTCCGGCCTGGCAGGACTGGGTCCCGATGCGCACCCCTCTTGACGATCGTGCTTTTTGCGGTGTTCAAGGCAGTGACAATTCGACGGGCGAGGAGCATCCCCGTGATTGTATCGCGAGACGCCCCGGGTACCGCGAGCGCCACTGACACGCGACGGAAGCGCACGCCAAATGCGCAGACGAGGAGAAATTCCGTTTTCCTATTCCGCTACCCCTCCCTATTCCCGCCCTTTTCCTCCCGTTTTCTTTTTCTCCCACCTTCCACCTCCCATCACGGCGGCAAGCTGATGCCTGTGATTTTCAGTTCTTCGAACTGTGGCATGGCATCGGTGTAAGCCCGCTGCAGTCCAACAAATGTCCTCCCACTTCCTTCCTCCTCCTCCCCCTCCTCCTCCTGTTTCTCCTCTTCCTCCTCCTCCTCCTCCTGCTCATCTTCTCGCGCGCGGGGCTGCGCGCTGGTGCCAAGGGTGTGAACCAGCGCTGGGGGGAGCACCCGTAGAAAAAAATAGGGAAATGGAAGAGGAGGAAAAGGAGGAGGAGACAAGGAGAAACATGAGGAACACGTGAAGGAATATGAGGAAAAAGAGCAGGAACAAACGCAGGAGTAATAAAAGAGGAGCAGGAGGAACAGGGGGAACTGGCACTGATGATAATAACGATACTGCTGATGATGCTGATGATTGTGATGATGATGGTGGTGATGGAGATGGTGATGAAGGTGGTGATGATAGTGCTGATGCTGCTGATGGTTTTTTTTGATGATGGTGGTGACGAGGAAGAAGAGGGGGAGGAGGAGGAGGAGGAAGAGGAGGACAATGAGGAACAGAAGAAGAGGGAAAGAGGAACAGAGGACAAGAGGAGAAAAAGGAGGATCCGAAGGAGGAGGAGAAGAACAAATGTAATGAGGAGGAAGGAGGAGAAGGAACACAAGAGGAGGAGGGTGCTGAGGGTGCTGAGTAAATCGAACGGGTCGGGACCCGAACGCTCGGCGCTACGGCCGCGGACGCCGCCCGCGCCCCAGGGGGATAGCTGCACCCTAGGGCCTTTCAGCGGAGCGGACGGGCGGGCTCACGGGGCCCCAGACACCCAGGAGGGGCCGAGAGGAGGCCCGCTGAAAGAACGAACCCCCCGAGCACAGCCACCCCCCCGAGGCCTATAGCCCGCAGCTCCTCGAACCGTGAAGGCCTTCCCGAGCAGCCCGCCGAGCTCGACGAGCCACCGTCCCTTTCCCGCCTCCTTCCGGTCGAAGTGCGAAAATCCCTGCCGTCTTCACGCGGCGACTGCGCTCCGCGCGTCCACGGCCCCGCGCAGCATGCGCCACGCGACTCTCCCCGGAAGTGGATCTCGAGCTCCTCCCAGTCGGACTTCGGGAACACCGCGCTCCGACAGCATGCGCTCTCCAAGCACGGCACCGCACAGTATGCACCGTACGTGACGAACGCCTTCACAATGATGAAGAATACTACGAACCTATGCTTCCCCATGGAGTGCATTTCACAGAAACTCCACCATGGGAGACGCCATGGCTCCGAGGCGCTGCGCCCCTTCGAAGTGCGCGCCCCGACCGATCGAGCGGACCCCAGCTCGACGCGAAAGGGCTCACAAGAGGAGGAGGAGGAGGAGGAAAAGGAGGGAAAGCAGGAAAAGGAAAAGGGGGGGAAGTGGAGGAGGGAAGGAACACGAGGAAAAGAGGAAGGGAGGAGGATGGAGAGGAGGAGGTGCAGGAATCATACCAATCTTAATCATAAAAAAAGGAAGTGGTGGAAGAAGGGAAGGAGCAGGAGGAAGCCGAATATCAGGAAGAGGGAGCAGGACCCCCCTTCGCGAGGATCCGGGGAGGCGCCGAGACTTGGAAGACCTTGGGAGTAGAAAAGGGCGCCCGCTTCGGCGCCCCCGATCACTCCCCGTCATGTTCGTGTCGGGTGAGTGGTGCTGGGGGGTCTGTAATTGGGGGAAAAAGCAACGCTTCTGGCACACTTTAGGGAAATGTTGAGGGCCCTATGTTGCTATGTGCTTTTTGTTGAATATGTTGTGCGCGGAGACTGCGCTATCGGTTCATTGCGCAGTGGAACTTACGTGCGCGAGGCATTTGGCATTATCCAGCTGATGGAGCATCTGGCCTCTTTAGGGACACTTTCGAGCAACTTTCGTCCCCACCGCAGCAGTTTAGGGGCACTTCTGTGACACTCTCATGTGCTGCAACTTTTGGCCGCTTGCTGGTACTGCGCATCAACACGTCTGAAAGGGAGGCTGCCGTGCGCGACATTCGTGGCGCAATTCGATGGCCAAGCTAACAGTTGCGCCGCAAGAATGGAAGAGCTGCCGTCTGAAATGGAACGTTCAAACCGAGCAACGTACCATATGTGAGAGCGGCGTTTGCCTCAAATGGCCTCGTTCGGGAATAGCGCGTTCCCCCCCATCCGCATCCCTCCATTACCAGTCACTTGATCGTGGGTCCCGGCGACGACGACGACGCCGCGGCCGCCGCCAACGCCGCCGAGGAGAACGACGACGACGACGACGACGAAGCTGCTGACGACGACGACGACGACGCCAACGCCGTCGACGACGACGACAGTGACGACGACGCTGACGACGACGACGATGACGACGAAAACGACGACGACGACCACGACGACCTCAACGACGACGACGACGAGGACGAAGGCGACGATGAGGACGAGGGGAACGAGGTCGACGACGACGAGGACGACGACGCCCGCGAGGACGACGTCGACGTCGACGTGGATGACGACGACGACGGGGACGACGACGAGGAAGACGACGACGGAGACGACGACGACGATGTGTTCGAGGACGACGACGACGACGAAAAGGACGACGGAGGTGATGACGAAGACGGCGACGACGCTGACGACGACGACAACGCTGACGACAACGCTCACGACGTCGATGTCCACAACGACGTCGACGACGAGGACGACGACGACTAGGACCAGGACGACGAAGACGACGACGACGACGGCGAGGGCGAGGGCGACGACGACCACGGCCACGACGGAAACGACGACGAAGACGACGACGACGGAGACGGAGACGAGGACGACGACCATGACGATGACGACGACGACGACACCGAGGATGACGAGGACGCGGACGACGACGACAATGACGACGACAAGGACGACGATCATTTTAAGACTGTTCGCTCTTACTGGCACGCGTGTCTCGCATTCTGTATACCCCAACCCTCGATACCCGCCCACTTCGTCTTCGATCGGACCCCGTTTCGGGGGGAATATTTTCTTTGCTGGCCACTGACTGACATGCAAGCTCCTGAGTTTGAGGCCTCCCTGGCCAGGGTCTCTCGAAATACATATTGAAAAAGATCGAACGGGAACCCTTGTCGCCGTGTCTGGGCTCCACCAACTTGCTTGAAATACGAGAAAGTCTCGAGCGAGAGCGCCACTCTTGAGTTCGGGGGCCTCTCGCAAGGGCCTCTGCGAATACATCTTGAGGAAGTATCGAACTGGAGCCCTTGCCGTCGTAGTTGGGCCTCCACCAATGTGACTGAATCACGAGCAAGTCTCGAGCGAGTGCGCCGTTCCTGAGTTTGGGAGCCTTCCGGCCAGGAGCTCGCGGAGTAAACCGTGAGGAAGTATCAAGCAGGAGCCCTTGTCGTCGTGGCTGGGCCTCCGCCAACTTGATTGAATTGCGAGGAAGTCTCGAGCGAGAGCGCCGGTTCCTGAGTTCGGGGGCCTCTCTAGCCAGGGTGTCTCCGGGTAAATTATGAGGAAGTATCGAGCGGTAGTCATTGCCGTCGTAGCCGGGCCTCCAAAGGCACATTTTTCCCTACCTAGGCTCTGCCTAGAAGGGTTCTTACTCTGTTAGCTTGAAGGGCCGGGCAGTGAGCCCCGCCCCGGGCGGTTCCCCCGGTCCTCTGGGAGCGGTTCCCCGAATCCCCTGG